TTTTTCAAATCTTATTTCTCAAAAGTCATAGTAATCTTGAGAAGTTTAAGGACACCAGCCCTGTTATTTCTTGCCATATTTATTACAAATGAAAAGGGTCAATACATATTTGTTGTCTAAGTATATTTTAGAACACACACAAAACTTTTAGTTTATAGATTAACTCTGTCATCTACTAGCCTACCTGGTCTTTCTTGGAATAATAAAATACATATCCTTGGGGCCAAGATCTATAGTTCCAGAATATTCTCAGCTATCTGCTTCTGCTATAGAATAAAGTTAGTTTGGAAATAAGACAATGTTAAGTAAAAGCAGCTTGCTTTGCCTAACCCACCTCCCAAGGCTCCATTTGTAAAAAGAGTACAAACCAAAAATCCTATGTCCACTATATCCTTTCCAGGGTATCAGCCTGTTGCTGACTTTTATTTTCTTCATTTTTTGAATAGGGACAAAAATACCTGTTCCAACACTCATAAGAGTGACTTATAGATTTAATGAAATTATATCAAAGTACTCTGTAACCTACCAAACTTAAATTTATATAACAATAACTACTTTGTATTGAACATCATCTAAGTTCTAGGAATAGTAGTGGACGGTTTACATGTATAATGTTACCTCTTTTAATCCTCCACACAACCCTGTGAGGTTGTTATAATTACATTCTGCTTATAAATAAATTAATAGAAGCTCAGAGTGATTTGAGTGATTTGCTAAGGTAAAATAGCTGGAAAGGGCAGAGTCAGGATTCAACTAGATATTACTTCCAAATAGAGACTTTACTTTTCCTTTCTACTCAGAACTAAGGCAACAGCATTATTTAATGTCCTTAAGAATGGTAAGTGGGTTAAATAAAAGGGAAAAAAAATCACTGAATACCCTGCCCCTCCAATAAAGCTGTCAGATAAAACCTATACTTACATTTTAGAGTAGACCACACACTACCTGAAAACCCCTGTACTTCATATATTTTTTAATAGTTTTGATGCATCAAGTGTAAGATGCATAAAAAATAGATGTTTTAGACACAATAAAAATATGGTATCCCATCCAGCCAGGTCCAAGCTTAACTTTTCATGTTTCATTCTAACCACTATCAAGCATGTAGACAAATCACAAATGACACAAAACAGAAAAAACATAAGGACTTCCTTTGCTTTTGGAAAACATCTCAGAAACAACAAAATTCTTTTGAGGAAAGAAGGAAAAATAATTTTCTAATAGTAACTAATATGCCTTCCTTAGTCATTACGACATAATGTTTGTAACCTTAATAATAAAGCAATATATTTACTCTTTATAAAAATCAAGTCACCAAGTAAAAGCAGAACATCCACCACACTAAAAATGTAGTTATAACATATACACCAATTTCCAACCTCTCAGAACATCCTGTAAAATAGATTTTAGTCACTGGAATGAATAATTGTTCAGAAAAGCAACATTGCCTCGATTGCAATATGATTTGGTAGTTAACATTCTTGCTTTCCAGTTAAAAGCAGAAGCATGAGCAAAAACATTGGGCTCTTTGATGTTTCATTGACCAAGAGAATGTTTCTGGGCAGCCCCTGAGAAAACATTTGTTAACACATTGGTCACAGATATATCTTCACTCCTCAAAATGACACTACCAGACACAATCATGTTACCTCATGACTGAACATTTATGGACTGTGTCAGGACCCACTTCACAATCAACCTCTAAGTCCAAAGATGGGAACTGGATCCTCAACCAGTGAACCTGTGGCATCATATCCTCCATGAATTTTTGCCTTCCAAACCCAGGTTCCACTGCATAGCCAAGGCTATCTCTATCTGATTAGCCCAGGTGCCAAATGCTCACCTGTAGTTCCTGGTTTGATGGCAAGTTCAACTTAATCTCGTTCTCACAAACGTCTTTAGCCAAAGCCCCTGGTGTCTCAGTAACTTTGAGATTAAAGGTATATTGATTGGTTCCTGCTATAGCCATTGGCTTTACCCACTGTTCCAAGCTGGACACTATCATGTGCATGTCAAAGCCTAGCTGGAGGCTTCCTACCACAGGGTGACCAAAGGTGACATTGGCGACAAAATGCATCCAAGTGCAGAAAATCGGCCCACTGAGTCCGGCGTCCAGGGGCTGTCAGCCTCTAAATTTGCCCGGTTGCTGTTGAGGCTGGACAGGCCAATCTTGCAGCTGGATACCATGGTACTTGTTACCAACAGAAGGGTATCTTTTGATGAACTGAACCTTTTACCAATATGTTGTGACCTTCTTTATCTCCAGCAATCCATTCTCTTAAAGTTTATTTCATTTGATGTTATATAGCTGTTGTAGCAATATTTGGGTTAAGAATTGTCTGCTATATATTTTCTCCATCATTTTCCTTCAACTCTATATTCTATTGTTTTAGTTGTATCCTTTGTATGCAGCATATTATTGTTTTAATACATTCTGAGTGTCTTTGTCTTTACTCACCATAGCTGAGTTCACTTATTCTGAGTACTGATATATCTGGATTCATTTTGTCATATTTCTCTTGTTTTTTCTATTCTCTCCTTCTCTCTCTCTTCCTTCTTATCTTTTGACTAATTTCATTCACCTTTGTATTTTTAAAATCTCTTTGCTTTGTTGAAAGTTTTTATGTTACCCTATGAATTTTAACATATATATTTAACTTAACAAAATCTAAAGTTAATTGATATCTTTACCTTCCTCTCAATCAATGCAAGATCCTTACTCCTCTACAACTTACATGCTAGATTTTTTTTCTGACCCGGAAGTTAGATACTTTTAGACTATACAGCCAATGTTTATTTTGATTTAACCATTTTTACTTTTTTTTTCTTTCTCACTCATTCCTTTTTAAACCTTAGATCTTCCAATATAGATTGCTTGTCTTATTCTTATCCTTGGTCATAGCCTCATAGCTTTACTAGCTCCTTTATTTTCTGATATGGCCAGATGTTCCAAGGAGGGGACTTCTTTTTAAAGGTTAAGTATATTCCACTAGAAATATTTTAAAATCACTTGAAATATTTACTCTCCATGTGCCCACTTGATACACAAGTTTATTTGTTTGATTTTCTTTTTAAAAGTTGATTGCCTTTTGTATAACTGAATGTGTTATAATTATATAAAACATTTATATTGGGGCCGGCCCAGTGGCGTAGCGGTTAAGTGTGTGTGCTCTGCTTCGGCAGCTTGAGGGTTCACAGGTTCGGATCCCAGGGGCGCACCGACACACCGCTTGTCAAGCCATGCTGTGGCCACGTCCCATATAAAGTGGAGGAAGATGGGCATGGATGTTAGCCCAGGGCCAATCTTCCTTGGCAAAAACAGGAGGATTGGCATTGGATGTTAGCTCAGGGCTGATCTTCCTCAAAGAAAAACCAAAAAACATTTATACTGTTCTAAAGTCAAATATATAAAACAAGATATATTCAGAAAAGTTTAGCTTCTATCACTGACCCCTCCAACATACTTCCTCCCTTCTCCTATAAATAACATTAAAAAATTTGTTTTGGTTTATTCTTCCATTATGTTTTAATGTAGAAATACATTTACATATCTCCTCCCTTACTGGATAAACAATAGCATACTACATATGCTTTCTCCAATGTGCTTTTTTCACTCAACTATGTTCTGTAGCTCATTCCCTGGCAAAATATAGAGCTCTTTATTCCTTACTGTACCTGCATAGTACTCCATTTTGTGGACACACCATTCAGTTAATCCCCTATTGATGGACATTTAAATTGTCCTCAGTCTTTACCATTGTAAATAGTGTGGCAATGAATATCGCTGTAAATTTATGGCTCAATAAATACATATGCAATTTTGCTAGATATTGTCAAATTTCCCTCTGTAGGGACCATATTATCTTTCATTTTGAACAGCAACATATGAGAATACCTCCCTTCTCACAACCTTGGAAACACAGTATGTTGTTCAGGTCACCTTTTTTTTTTAGCAGCTTTACTGTTGTGTAAAGACTAGCAGCTTTACTGTGGTGTAATTTACATACCATGAAATTCACCCATTTTAAGTGTACAGTTTGAGTTTTCATAAATTTACGAAGTTGCGCATTACTACAATCCAGTTTTAGAACACTTTCATCACCTCAATACGTTCTGTTGTGAGCACTTTTAACCAAATATTTGGTGTAGATTTATTGAGGGGTGGAGATAACACAGATGCATAAATTCTAGCTCCAAATCCATGTGATAAACTTGTGGTTAGCTAATGCTCATGGATTTTTTCCAAAATCAAAGTAAGACTTTTTCTAACAGAAAGTATGTGTAAGTTTTATTTGGCTCATTAGTTTGACAATGAGGACTGGCTTTGTCCTTAAAATTACAAAGCAAATACCCTCCATAAACCAAATGCACTAACTATGCAACTTCAAGGTTATGATGGAAAATATATTTAAAGAACATTTAATATACAATAAACTGGAAATTGTATCTTTTCCACTACTTATGTTTATGATTTTAAAAAATATAGATGCCAAATTAAAAATGTGTGAGAAGATATATAATTTTAAAGTTGCTTTGGGCCCTACTTAAACAAGTTTGAAGACTGTTGATACACAAAATTTTTCTTTCTCTAATGTTTTTGTCTTTTTTAAATTGCTTTTGCAATCACTGTTTCAGTACTTTTATCATTTTAGAATAGCTTTTGAAATTAATAGTTCTTGATTTGTAAGACTTTTCAAATCTATTTCACCTAATTGCAAACTATGAAAAGAATAACCAGAGAGACTGACCAATTACCAAATACAGTACTACTTTGGCTGAAAATTAGTTTAGATTTTAAAGAGCCATTGGTGATTTAGTTCAACCTTATTTTAATGACAAGCACAGAGTGCTCATTTTAGCATTATCTGTAATGGCCAAAAACTGGACCAAATATCCAGATAAATTGTGGCATAGTCGTACAATGGAATACTGTATCAAAATAAAAATGAATGAACTCATGCTACACATAATTTGTGGATGAATCTCACAACATAACGTTGAGTGTAAGAATCCACACTCACAATCGCATACTGTGTAATTCCATTTATATAAAGTTCAAAAACAGGCAAAACTAAGCTATGGTGATAAAACTCAGAACAACGGTTACCTTTGAAGGGTAATGACTGACAGAGGGCAGAAAGGAGGCTTCTGAGGTGCTGTTGATGGTCTACATCTTGACCTGGGCAGTGGTTACGCAGGTGTGTTCACTATGTACAAATTTATCAAGCTGTATACACTTTTGTGCACTTTTCTAAATGTGTGCACTCTATCAATAAAAGTTTACTAAAAAGCAAAAATATAAAAGACTCTGTACTTCTTGTCACCAAAATAAAACCATGGCAAATATTTCGTTAGATATTCTATTTTACCTATCTTTTATTGTTGCTGATAATAGTGATGATATTCCAATGAACACTTCAGAATATCATTTAGCCTTAGCCTGTGCAGCCAACGCAGCCTCTTCACGCCACTTAGCCTTCTTTGCCAGGTTCCAACTTGTTAAGGATTCATGTCGTTCCACAGCCTGCAAAAAAAAACAAAGCAAAGCATTGTGACTCTCTGGAAAGAATGTGTGTTTTAGGTAGCCATTCATCGGGCAGACTCTGTGAAAAGGAAAGGATAAAAGTAACTTAAAACATCTGTCTCAGATAGTATCCAAGAAAAATGGTCTTTAGGTATAGAACAAAAATGACTTAAGCTGCTAGACTTCCAGCCAACAGGACAGCTGGGCCCACCCTCTCTTGGCATACATAGACATATTTGTTAGATAAAAAGTAACAAAAATGTTTTCAAATAATTAAGCTCAAAATTGAGAAAGGGAAATCCTCAGGTAACAGAAATGGAAAGAGCTCAAAAGGTGTGAATTGATGTGGAATGAGAAGGACTGAAGTCGGGATGGAAGGAAATGGTTCAGTCAAGGGAATTAGGGAAAAACATTGGCTTTAACAGCCGTAGGCTGGGAGTTTAATCTCTTCACCAACAGGGGAGTCCAGTTTGGATCTTGGGCATGGAGCGGAACTACCAACAGAAAGTTGGAGGCATCAGGGAAAGGTACTCTTATGAAATGACTAAAACTCCTCTCAGCAGCCCAAGGAACTGGCAAAGAAACTAGGCATTTATCTAGGGGAAAGAGCACCTGTGCAAAGAAAAGATAATCAGCATCATAATGAGGAGGTAAGACCTCTAGCTCGAAAATAGATCTGAAGAAATAATCTAAATGCAGCACAGAGATAAAGATACAAAAAATAGAAAAGGGAAGTTAAGAGTCATGGAGGATAGAATTAGAAGTTCCAACATATATTCATAATTGGTGGAGAGAATAGATAGAATGGGAGAAGGGGCCACATCTGAAATTATGACAATTTAGACTTTTTCAGAAGAGAGCAAAGCCAGTCCTCAGACTGAAGAGCATACAAAGTCCTTAGAAGAATAAATAAAAATTTAATAGACGTTGACGGATTTCTAATATGCACCTCACACTTAATATAACCAAAAAGGAGGACTCCATATATTTTACCTTTCATGCCTACCAGTTCTTTCCTTAGCCTTACATATCTCAACAAATGGCACCATCGTCTGTCTAGTTACTCAAGTCAAAAACCCAGGCTTTTTGGTTTCTTTCTTCCATTTTCTCTCCTCCTCTGACACTGAATTTACCACCAAGTTCTATCCTTTCTACCTCCCCAAATATATCTCGAATTGCTAACCTTTTCTCCATCTCCATCTGCCACAATCTTAGTTAAGATACATGCATTCTGGGGCCGGCCCCGTGGCTTAGCAGTTAAGGGCGGGCGCTCCACTGCTGGCGGCCCGGGTTTGGATCCTGGGCGCGCACCGCTTCGCCGGCCATGCTGAGGCTGCGTCCCACATACAGCAACTAGAAGGATGTGCAGCTATGACATACAACTATCTACTGGGGCTTGGGGAAAATAAAGTAAATAAATAAATAAATAAATAAAATTTAAGATACATGCATTCATTATCCAAAATGAAAGGTGAATTAGAGAGAGGCAAGAGGGACAGCAGTGAGACCATTTAGAAGATACTGCAAATAAACTAGGCAACAGACGTTGGTTATCTTACACGAGGGTGATATCAGGAGGGACGGTGATGAGTGAGTGGTCCAATTGTGGATATATTTTAAAGTGGAGCCAACAGGATTGCTGATGTATGATGACTTACTCAGGAGCAGCTTGAAAGTTGATAAAATACTGAGTACCTGGGCAAGGCCATTTTAGAAGAGGTGGTCAGGGAAGCTCTTTCTGAGGAGAAGAATAAGCCAGCTACAGCAAGACCAGTGGAAGGAAGGAAAGCCTAGAGAGGAGAAAGGGCTTGGTGTATTAAAAAATAGAAAAGAACTAGTGTGGATGAAGCATACAACGTACACAAAGAAGATGGTATGGGACAGGGAGGGTCCAGACAGTGTCAGGCTCCAATCTGTCATTTAGGAGCTAGAGAATCATCAACTTGGTGTGCAGTCATTTTATCAAGGGTAGGTTAAAACCAAGAGATGATCAAATTTCTTTATATCTATGTTTAAGTGTTCAGCCCAGCAAATATTTAAGAAACTTCCCATTTGATGAGAACAATTTCAAAACATAAGTTTTTGGCCAAGCTAACAGAAATGAATGGACATGTACATAACATTAGTGAGCTCAGAGGCTCTAGTTCCTATGTAAATTACTGGGCTCAAATACTCTTGAAAACATGAGAAGCAAAGAAGGAATCATAGGACAAGGCAGAATGGTAATTGGCTAAACATGCCTAGAGTGTGAAGATGTATGGATCCAAGCAAACTGTTCTGCATGATGTGGCTGCCAAAATCTAGTTTCAACTGTGGCTGCACTACTAAAATGCAACGTTCATAAATAAGGAAGTTATAACCACACCCTAATGGGTTCAGCTGCAGGGGCCACAATGAAGAGGAACACTGATAAACTGGAGTGTATCTAGAGGAGAGCTCAAAAAGTTGTTAGGGATGGAGAAATTAAGAGTGGAGAAGAGAAGACTCCTAGGGAGGTGTTAGATATCTCCCCAATATTTGTGGGGCTGCTCTTTGTGGTAAAAAGTGATCAGCAGATGGAAGGATTTGGGGAAGCAGAAACCAAAATTAGAGAGTAATCAGCTCTTAATTTCTCTCTAGAGGTATTAATCAGAAACCACACATTGGAGATGGCAAGGAAAGGGCTCATCTACAGGATATAGACAAACTAGTTGACTTTGGTGATCCATTCCAGCTTTTGCATATTTCTTGATTCTATGCAATGGCTAGTTGAGCTCGTGATTTAGGGAATGATCTAGTCTGGATAACTTTCACACAACAAAGTTCTCCTTCTTGTGCAGATTTTAACCAGGTTGTAAACTGTCCTGTTTTTGTTTATCTTATAAGTGGAAACAAGCTTTTGTCCCTCCTGGACATATAGTTAATTTGTTGACTCAAGTTTTCACGGGCAAATTTGTTTTCAATATGATAGCTATGCATGGGTGGCTCTAGGTGTCTAAGACGAAACTGTTCTTACATCATAAGAATGGCAATAATCCCTGAACAGAGAACAAAGCCCATAATATTTCTTAAAATTCACAAGTCTCTATTTTAAAGCGGTACTCACCCTTTTGGCTGACGCGATCACTGCAAAGCAGGCGATAATTGTGAATCCGATCATTATGTAACATGCTTTCACCCGAGCTCTGTTTCTTGCAGCGTCTATCATTTCTGGCCTAAACCAAGATGTGTATTTTATTAATTATATTAAAGTAATATGATTTTCTCACTGGGATAATACACAATGATTTGTTATGTAAATATTCCAAAAATTTCCCTGAATGCAAACTGCTGATGTGAAAGAATTTCGAACGCTAGCCCATTATCTTACCAATTCCAAATTAACAGATATTTATTCAGGTCTTAACTAATTCTAACCACTATGAAGCCACAGTGTAGTATATTTACCTTCTAATTGCTCAAACTATAACTACTAGAGATTATGGCCTGACTCCCCATTGTTTTTTTTTTCACTGATTGGGGTAAAGGTTAAGAATTAAAGCATATGCATGTCTATGACTTGTGTCCATTTGGCCCTGTGTTATTAAGTAAGCTTTGTTTTCAGTTTTGAACAAGTTAATTTTTTAAAATTCATTTTAATCATTTTGTTTTTTCACTGGCCTTTCAATCTCTTCTTGCCCCCTCCCATCCCACCCTGATTAAAGTCCTATCCCGATTAAAGAGACTATTATACATTTTGTGAGGATATCTGTTATTATACTCTTATTATACATTATACATTTTGTGAGAATGACGGTTAGAGAAAGGGTGTTTCTTTCATGGTTTTTGCATAGGTTTTCAAAAGGAGTGATCAAAATCACGGTAATTTGTCATCTTCGTTTTCTTGTTATTAGTATTCTGAAATATTATATGCTTATTCGAATACTGGGTAGTCTTATTTACTAATCAAGTTATATGCAAGTCGTCCATGATTTTAGCAATACTACTTACAAAGTAGTGTTATAAAGGTAATCACGCCTGTGAGCCTTTTATATTGAAATAAACTTTAACAATTTGCAATAATATGAAGTGGCAGTTTATAAATACACATAGTTAAAGCACGTGACTCTTGAGAATGTATTCAGCAGCAATCTTTCTTATCTAATGTCAAGTTTAAATAGAATGTAGTTACATAAAAAAAATTCCAGGAAGACAAGTTGCAATTTCTCTTAAAAATGAAAAACTTTTTCTTTAACTTTTCCACTAGTTGAAAAAGCACAGAAAACCAAATATTTTGCCTGTTTTCCTTAGATTTTAGGCAGATTAACCCAACTTTTAAGATGTTAGCTGCAAACATGAATATGGAGACATTATTAGATTATATTTGTTGTTGACTTTTGTTCCAGATGGAACTCAAAAGATCTGATCTTTTTTACCCATCCATCTGGCTTTGATCTGCTATATCAAATTAGTTTAGCACTGAAAAAAACAAGAAAAAGTACCGTTATTATTAAATATCATTAGTGTATGGTAGAAAAATTATAGGTCACTTGTTAATTACATGTCCATTAAGAGCATGAAAAGTGAAAGCTGTTCACATTGTAAGTCTAAAACTTAGCTTAGGAGGCATCTCTCTCCTAAACAGTAATGCTTTAACAAATTATAGAAAATAATAAGATGATAAATATTCAAACACATTCATGTTTCTAACCCCGAACTACAATACTTTTCATAGGCATCTTGTTCATAGTTATATTTTCCTGTTTATAATACTTCTTTTTTGTTTTTATAATTTTATTTATTTATTTATTTTTTCCCCCAAAGCCCCAGTAGATAGTTGTATGTCATAGCTGCACATCCTTCTAGTTGCTGCATGTGGGACGCCACCTCAGCATGGCCGGAGAAGCGGTGCGTTGGTGCGGGCCCCTGATTGGAACCCAGGCCACCAGCAGCGGAGCGCGCGCACTTAACCGCTAAGCCATGGGGCCCGCCCTTTTAATACTTCTTTTGACTGTGATCCTGTGGAAATTAAACCATTTCTCTAAAATGGGTCTCTTCACACATACAGCTATGTTAATGCAGTACTGGACATAGTAGTGTCTCTGCACAAGCATTAATGTATCATAATGCTGGTTTTTTACATTCTTGATTACTCTGGTACAGCACTAGAACTCAAAATTCCCCCAAATTGAGGGTGGTGTTTTACTTTTCATTTTGTTTATGTTCTCTTTCCTTCTTCATTTTGCATTTAAAGTATAAAATCCTCACGCATCAATTAAACTTATCAATTAAAATTTGACAACCAGAGCTTGTGATGATAAAGGCTTTTCTGAGGCTCATTTCTGCTTTGGGCTGTCTGTAGCTTGGAGACTACAGATCTCAAGGAAAACAAAATTTGTTTTATAATACTAAAAAATGTCTCTGTGGTTGATTAATGTTGAAAACAGATTTCAAATTCCATGTTATTTCAAATTCCATGTCCATTCCTCATTAAATAATTTGATCTATGAATGGAATAAAAATGTTTGAGAAGTCATTGAGTGAACATTTCCCACCACATGCCTTTTTCCATTTATATGAGATGCTTTTGGTACCTGGTAAACTAGTAAGTCATAAAAGTGCTGGCACTAAGTGCAAAACAAGATGGCCCAGTTTCCATTTTCCGTTCTAACAGGCATTGATTACATTGTATAAATATAATATACAGAATATTTGCAATCGTTATTTGATAATTATAGTTCTAATATCCCTTCTTTTAAAGATCAGTTTAAAAAGTAGATTGATTTTATTGTTAGTTTCCTTCCTTTCCTTTTTACCCACCCCTCTGTAAAAGTGCTGGGAAAGATTTGGGGCTTGGTAGAAACGGAAACCGTAGAAAGATGGGTTTTTTTACAGGTTGCATTTACTTTTTTTTTTTTTTTTTACAGGTTACTTTTACCCTGGAGATGAAGTTGGTAGCTTTGGTTTTATCACTTAGCGACCCTCTATCTTGGATTCAGAACAGATAGGAGGTCTGTGACTCCGCCAACCCCGAGGGTCCTAGCGCAAGTAAACCTGGCGCTCAGACGCTGCCGAACCGCGTCCGCCAGGCGTCTCCCGCCCCAGAAGAGGAGGCCGCGTGGATGCAGCTTCTTCCCAGAGACCCTCCAGGCGCCCCACGAGCCATGATTGACGGACTCCTTCCTTGGGTGAAGAGGGAGCCGCCACCCTCCCGGCCAGAGCCCCTCTCCCTCTTTGGCGCCCCCGCGAGGACCGTGCCTTCTGTTTCAGCTCAGTGCTCCACTGCCTCGCGCCTTGGCGCTCCCCGGGAACTGGTATCTGGGCGCTGGTGGAAGTGCCCGCTGAACTGGTTTTCACCCAACTTCAACAGCTCCCTGTAGCTTAGCTGCCCACTGTCCGGTCAAAGAACTTGACATTTACCCACACTAGGCGGGCTCAGGTAAAGTGCCTAAGGTGGGCGGTGTTACTGTGAAGAACTGTGCGGCACTGCGCCGCCTTCGCTCCACGGTGCGCCGGCGTCAGGAGGTGGATGGACTCGGCTCCCCTCCAGGCCCGGCCCGACCCGACGCTCCCCGGCGCGCGATACCCCCGCCGCCTCACAGGCCACACTTACGGCACCCGAGGGGGGATCTCCTCCATCGTTTTGAAACGTCCGGTCCACAGCAGGATTTTCTTGTCGAATTGCGAAGGCTTGTGCTCGGCGGGGACCCTGTGAACTTTCCCTGCTGCGAAAGCGACAGAGACGGACAGAGAAACGGACATAGCGATGGCACAGTGGATCACTGCGCGCTCACGCCTCCAACCCCCGGCTCCTCGCCCGCTCCTCCGCAGCCCCCTCCCTCGCAGGCCATTCCCAGTCCTGGCTCACCGGGTCCTTGGGGCCCAGAGCCGCTGGGGGCCCCGTCGCTGGAGTAGCGGGGAAGACCCCGAGGCCCAAGAGGCGCGAACGGCCACCGCGCCGCTTCTCCAGGCGCCCCCGGGACGCAGCTAAGGATGCGCCCCGGGCGGAGGCGCAGAAGGCTCCCGACGGCCCCGAGCATGCTGCGCCCTGTGCCTGCACCCGCCCCGCGTGCCGAGCCAGAGCGGAGCTCCCTCCACCCCCGCCCCTCCCCGCGGAGCTCCCAGCGCAGCTGCAGCCTCTGACACGCGCATCCTCGACTCCTGGTCCCCGCTTCCGGCCGGCGACCCCGGACCAGAGAGTCACGACCTTAGGGACTGACTCCTCCCTAGGAGGGCCCAGAGAGCTGCTGCCTCTGCTTGAAAACTCCGGGCGCTGAGACTCACCACCTCTTGAGACAGCTTCTCTGCAGCTCATTTTAAACGCATTTCTTTGTATTGAGTAGAAACGTGTTTCCATCAGGCTCTCACCCTTTGGTTCCTGTCTGGCGCCCAAGGGAATAAATCCAATCCCTCTCCTTCAGGAAGAGCCAAAAGTCCTTCAAGTGCAGGCCACTTCAAATGTTTGCCAAGTTAGTGTAAGGACATTCAGCAAACTTCTCATTTTCCCATGAGGAGATTTTTTGAAGTTAACTCCTCACCCCGGCCTCCACTCCCATACTTGTTCTCTTTTCTAAGCAAAACAGTCTCAGTGTCTACAATTGTTTTTCTCCACATTTTCATCTCTTAGTAATAGCACAGACTCTCCAAACTCCTTTCAAAAGGAGCCTTTCTTCTTCTGCCTTCCACCATCTGCTAAAAGGGGGATCTGCTATTACCTGGCTTCTAAATGGGAAGAGGGAGTCTGAGAGAGGGCTTGGAGGAAATCTGTCTACTCTGAAGGAATTCATTTATTCTATGTACTCATATTCCAGGCACAACAGACCCCAGCCGGGGGAAAGTGGTTTTCAGGACCCAGCGCCAGACCAGCTCACCCTCCTCTCCTGTCTACTGTCTCTGAGTTTCCTGCCATTCCCAGACACTGCTACGTTTAGTTGGATTTCCAGATATTGCTTTTCTTCCTAACTAGATGGTCAGGCTCTTAAAGGCAAGAACTTCTTTGTAATTCTGAGTGTCTTTCACATAATGGGTTTAACAAAAGAAGACAGACTAACAGGTCTGTAAAGACATATGCATTTAGAGGAGTGATTTTGGAAAGAACTTGGGCTTTGCCGTCATACCAACGTTTAAAACCCAGAGTTGTGACTTAAGAGTTGCACAACCATGAGGATATCATTTGTAAGTCATCAGCCTTGGTCTCATTTATAAAACAAGAATGCCTACCTTTCAAGTTCATTCATGCAACGACTACAGAAAAACCTACTATTTGCCAGCCACTTCTCAGAGCTGGGGATAGAGCAGTGAACAATGTCAAGTGGGGATTAGTAGATGAAGAAAAAAAAGCAGGATGAAAAAAAAAAGTAAGCAGGGATGGGTGGAAGTTATTTAGAAAGGATGGTTAGGGACACCCTTCTAAGTGTGCCTGGCACATAATAACACTGCAAAAGATGTTACCGTTTCTTTCTCCTCACATTCTTTGTTTAACTAGTCCCAAAACACAAGGGCATTTGAATTCATTTAATCTCCTGTAGGGAATTGTAGGAGGCTATGAGCTCCCTGAGAGTAAAGATTGTCTCTTATTCACCACTGTATCCCCAGGATATAGCTGAAAAATTGGTACCTAGTAGATACTTAATAAGTATTTGTTAAATAAATAAATGCAAGTCTTCAATACTAAAATAGACTCCATCAGGGCTAGTTTAAGAGAAGACTGAAATACTAGAGGATATGCTACATGAAGAACGAAACGAATTACTACCTGAGAGAGAATGTTGCCATAGATAATGTCTGATTATTCTAGGAATTTACTACTTGAAAATTCTCCCATTATTCAAATGTGTTATTTTTTCTTTTAATAGTTTATTTTTCTTCACGTCACTGAGAAGAAATATCGTAGAGCTAGAGGAAAACATCTCTGTGAAATAATCAATCATTAGTAGTTCACCAAGGGATATTAAACTAGTGAAATAAGTTTATTTCCCTGGAGATATCCAAATGTGAGGCATCCACACATGATTTTCTGTCTCAAGCTTCTCTCGTATTGCAGAACGACAGGGCATGAGAATACAGGCTTGTGTCATGAGAGAAAGAACAATTCGCATTCTATTCTCTATTCCTAATGGGGTTAAACTATCACTGTTTGGCAGTGGTCTACATAAAAAAATTACTTACAGCTGCATGAGAGATATTTTCTTTAGTTCTAAAATTGGAACAACAACAACAACAAAAAACTCGAATCAACTTCTAATAGAAGAAAAAACTAATTGTATTCTTTTATTTCTTTTTTTTAAACCAGGACAGCTCATTTATTGATTCAGCAAAAATTTATTGAGTGCCTCTTAGGTGCTGGGCACAGTTCTAAGCTGTGAGGTTACAACAGGAAAGCAAACAAAAATCTTTGCACCTCACAGAGCTTATTATTAATCCATGGTGGTTTCAGCTTACCCATTCAGTTCTATATTATTGTTCAATCCAATGGTTCGTCTAATTTGTATATGCTATTTTCAGTTTTGTTCGTTCAAAGCTTGGTTTTTATTAGTATGGTTTATGTTTCCATTTCCTACAGTTAATTTAGTTACTTCTTAAGATATACTGTTATAACAAGGAAGACATTTTAAATAAATGTAGACTGAGTGGAGAGAGTGGGTAATTTTTATTTTTTTTATTATTGAAAGCTGCTGTGTGCTCAGCACTGCACTATGATAAGAGATGCAAAGATTGCCGCAGAGCTGTCCCTGCGAAGCTCCCAGTCTGGCTGGGCTGATACTCACTCGTCAGGAAATGCCTTCCTCCCAAAGGAGGGAGTGGGAGGGACCTTAACTAATTTGTTTTCCAATCCCCTACTAGTCTCTCAGTAGGGAAAGTTGTAAAGTGACAGTTTACCTGCAGACCCAGCTCACAGTGGTCTCCAGTGCTACGGGCAATCTTACCAAGTGGGTGGTCTAGGCGAGGGCCTGATTCCACACTAGGTACTAAGCATGCACTTAGGACACCAGTAAAGGCTCTAAATGAGATCTCAGAAACCATTAATGAGCTCCTACATACAGATGTTCATGTTATTCCTCTTAATTCCCATTTTCATTGCTGTAATTCAGTGTCTCGTTCTTTCTCAACCATCCTATTATAATAACCTTCAAAATATTTTCCCCATCTCTGGTCAATTCTTTCTCCAATTCTTCCTCTGCCTGGCCTCCAAAGATAGTTTTCTAAAACATGGATGTAATCGCGTAAGACTCTCATGGTGCCAATCTCTTCCCTATTCCTTCTCTAACTTTGTACCCTACATCCCTGTCCACAGACTACAAAAACGACCCTGAAAAAAAATCATAATGAGGCAGAGAGGACTCTTTCAAAGTCTCCTGCTTTGATAATTTGCGTAGTCTGATTCAAATTCTCTGCCATCCTCATATTCCTAGACGTTTAAAATGTCTAACCACAGGTAGGTAGGTTACATTGAATTACTCTGTGCTGGTAATGATACACAACAGCTATCAACTAACATCACAGTTCATTTCTGGCTTGGACGGCGGGGTAGGCACCATGTGTATAACCAGTCCTCATCAGGCTTGAGTTGCTTGTTGTCCCATTGTTCTAAACATTAGTCTTAGAATCACATCCAGAAGAAAGCAGATTGGGCCGGCCTGTGGCGTAGCAGTTAAGTGCCTGAGCTCTGCTGCTGGCGGCCGGGTGGGGATCCCGGGCAACGCTGAGGCACCGCTTGGGCCATGCTGTGGCCGCGTCCCACATAAAATGGAGGAAGATAGGCACGGATGTTAGCTCTGGGCCCGTCTTCCTCAGCAAAAAGAGGAGGATTGACATGGATGTTAGCTCAGGGCTGATCTTCCTTACATAAAAAAAAAAAAGAAGACAACAGGTTGGATTAACTGCCCTGCACTGTTCAAAGCCTTTCTATTTTCAATAACACGAAGCTTTTATTTGTTCTAAAAATAGCACATCTGAAATGTGTGCATACTTATGAAGTACTGTTTATGCAAACTGCCCCCAGGACAATGAAGGGGCATCTGCAATGGCCATGTCTCACATTCATTGGCTGAAAGGTTATATTTGTAGTCTACTTCAAAGTCTACTAAGATTTTTATGTATGTCAGATTATATGCAATCACCTAATCACTTGATGTTGGAGGAGCCTCAGGCCCCAATGATCAATTTCAAACTCTGGAGTTCCTAATAACAATTTTGTATGACTAAATTAGCATTTTATGGTCCCAAGAACTAAATCTGCTACAGAATTTTCACCCTTGAGGCCCAATAATGACTTTACAGGGTTCAAATCTGAATGCTTCGATAGAATTTTATGATGACTTACTAGTGCTTCTCCAGCTCCCTGTCCCACGCCATCCTCCTCATACACATGTAAGGAAGTGGTCTTGCAAAATTAATCATACCCATAATAAATGTACAAGATAATCCCTTACTTGCATAGTTACAATTAAAGAAGGTTGTTCTTTCACAACCATGATGTGGATGATGCTACCCCAAATTCCCTTAAGACAATTACCTCTTATCCTACATGTGTTTGTACAATTCTTTTTTTTTTTTCCCGCTGAGGAAGATCTGTGCCTATCTTCCTCTATTTTGTGTGTGGGACGCCGCCACAGCATGGCTTGAGCAGTGCATAGGTCCACACCCAGGATCCGAACCTGCAAACCTCAGGCCACCAAAGTGGAGTGTGAAAACTTAACCACCGCACCACCAGGCTGGTTCCTGTATAATTATTCAGCTTCTCTCAGCTGCTTGCCACTCTCTTGGCTTATGTGGCCATGTTTTCTCAGAAATTGGGAACTGGCCTATTTGAATGTTTTGTCCATTTAGGGATAAAAAAATCAACTTATCAAAAGAATTTTCTCTTTTCTCTTTCAAACCATTTTACTTGAGGCTACTCATGCTGATTTCTGATTTTCAGTGTGAAATATAAAATATCTAGCCATAGCTTATTAAAAGGGCAGAGACTAAGGAGTTTTTTTGCATATTTCTCATTATACTACCATCTACAAATGGAAACAATTGTTATTTATGATCATGATAATGAAGATTTACAACAGAATTTGTTAAAGAT